TATATAAAAACTAATATAATTAATAAATTTATTATTATCATCTATAAATTTTAATATTTAACCTTAATTTGTTTATTCTTTGCTTAGCATATACACGAACGGTAACAAAAATAATTTATTATACTATGATTAAAAAAAAACTTTTCTTTCAGTGTACATACAGGTCTAGACCAAAAGGCCATTATCTTGGAAACAGTACAATAGATACAGTAAAATGACACAGTACTATTTCGATTCCTTTCGACAAGATACGGTTTCAACGCGTGAGATCTATGAGGAAAGTCTTACGTGTCGTAGCTGTATGAAAATGATCGCGTCTAGACTTGTGCCTGACTTTTTTTGTCAAATAATATATATAATTCCATTATTTTAAATCCATATAACAAATCAAACTACTTGATTACTTTCCAACTTTCATTTTCATGAAATTGATTAGCGTTTCAATGTAAAATTTTTCAAAGCTTAAAAATTTTTGTAAGCTTGAATAATACTAGCTAAAACTAAAAGTGACTCATTGTGTCTGATACTGACTGGCCAAAATATCGAGAACCGGTTTTTGAATAATTCATAGTAATGTTTGCGATATATTTTGTGATTTATGATCAGGGTGAGCATCCTTATTTTCGGGATAATTAATTATAATCTTAAGGTTTTTGATAAATTAGTTTTTCATATTCTCTATTTCGATATTTGCATTATTTTTTTATTTTCGTTTATTTTTCTTTTTTTTTCTTTCACTCTTTTTGGGTTTAATTCTAATATTTAAATTCTCGAGGTAGGGGAGCTCACTATGACAGGATAATTTTTATTCACAGTTTATTTATGTTAGTTTGTGTTGTCTCTGAGGAGGGCTCAAAAGTGAGCCGAAACATGTAAGCGCGTTTTAGTGAATAAAGAAATTTCATACTTTATAGATATATTATTTGCGCGACATTTTCTGCGCTTGACTCCTACTACTCGTATCCTTTCCAATTCCATTATTTTAAATACAAGTGTACATTACTTTAGCTATAAAGAACAGGCAATCTGATATTAACAGAAAAGAAGAAAGAAGCAAAGAGAAAATTGTTCAAAATAAAATCTCGAGGGTTGCGCTTGATGAAGACACGCTCTCATTCTAATTTCCTATATTAAGACGCAGTCCCATCAAAAAAGAATGCGTCCACTGATAACTAACCCGCATCTCGATTCATTGAAACGATTGACATTTCTCAAAGTTACAGAGTGATGACGAACCGCTCGCGGTCGGCCTATATATGCACAACAAATTAATCGTAGATCCATCCATCACATTCTTGCTACAATCTTGAGGCGGCGCTTCTAATTGTTAAGTAGTGTAAGTGACAATCAGTGACGTCGAACTTTAATTGGCCCGAAAGATAAAGCTGTTCTCACCATCGATCATAAATCTCCGCAGTACAACATTCAACGAATTACCAGAAATCTGCCTTTACTAAAATTATCCGTGTAAAAAATGGTTACGACATATATGTAATATTATCGTTAATTTGCTACAACGATCTAACTAAAAAAAAAAAAAAATTGTCATTTTTTAATTGCTTGCAGAAAAAGAACGAAAATATAAAGAGAAAACGACAGAATATACTTTAAAAGAACTAAAAGTACTTTATTCTTTAATCAATTATTACACTAAAATTGCATTTTAAGATTAATATTGTAAAATTTTAATGATTTAAAACATTGAAATGTTTTCTGAAAAACTATATTTTTTTAAGAACTGGATATGTATATAAATATATATTTAAGCACGAAGATCCAGCTTAAATCGTTAAGGCTTTTCTTGTGTACTCACATTTGCGCTCTCAGGACATTTTATTTACTTAATCTTTTCAATCTTTCATAGAGTGTCGTAGCAAAGGCGCGATATAACAGTAGTTATTTTTTCCTTTTTCTTTTTTCTGTTTCTTATATTTAATATAAGATATTTAGTAGGCATTATTTTCATTTTCATGTAATTTTCATGCAAAATTTGTTCACACGCAATAAATTAAATTGAATGAATTAAAGTAATAAACTATCCATTCATTAAATTAAATTAATTGTTAAAATCAACATCTTTAATTTAATTTCGCGATGTTCCAGAGGTGGACAACATGAGGGGGACGATATCAATTCAAACATGAGCTTTGTGATTTCCCATTCGTAACCATCTCTTTCTGGAACGCGTTAATCTTTGTGTACCTAGAACTGCCATTATCTTTAATCGACAGACGCGACAAGTCGAGGATTCCGTATTTTATCGATACGACGATATCGTCCAATTTTTCGCAATTAATGAATCCCATAGCGCGCGATTAGAAAATTAAATTAAATTATACGTCTACCTACGGAATGTTATCGTTACTCGTTATTTGCATCGAGATTTCGTGATGACCTTTATCGCATACGAGAGCGACAGGTGTGCTGTTTCTCCTCCGCAAATATATATATATATATATAAATATATAAAACCGACCATTCGTTAAGCGTTTCGATTCAGTGTTTTGTTTACTTCGCCTGCAGCACTCTTTTAAAACCCATCCGTGCACCAGGTCTGCAGTCAGGTTCCGAAAAAATGAATATTCTGATAGTAAGTTTCGAGCAGCGGGTAACAACTTGCCGAACACAAGTTTTCTCGCAAACTGACGTTTGTTATCATTTTAACGTCAAAATGTCATCGCAGACGTTCTGTTTACTGAGATTTTACATGTCCTCATCTTGCTACTTCAACTACTTACGATTTATGATGTTATAATTTCCCATTCAATAATTGTTATATAGATATTAGATCAGAACAAAAATTCGTAACGTTACTTCATTGTACTACATGTTCAAAAAAATAATTGGTAATTATATCAGTCGATTGAGCAGTTTCAGCTTTAGGAATTTGTTTTTCAAATTGCACTACGATGATTTTAACGGAGTTATGAACAATCAAAGACATAGGTCGTGCACTTGATACACGAATAATAACTTTCTATTAAATTATTTTAATTTAAACGATACGCGCGCAAACATGATATGTGTATTTAATTAATCATTTTGATGCATACTGTAATTTAGTACATTGTTGAAATTAAGATAATTAGAAAGTTACTATTGGGTCGTTTGGAAAGTAATTTCGTTTTTTCCCAACAGAGGACTTAATTGTATTTTTTCACAG